CAGATTTTTTCGGATTTTATTGAGCATCCAGATTAATAGCTTGAAAGAATTCCAAAAGATCTGAATAAAAAGTTGAAAATTTAGCTGAAACTTTGCAGATTTTTTATAACTCTAATGCGACGTTTTAGATAAGTTGTGTACAATCGAATATAAGTGGCAACCTTATACTTATATCCTAAGGGATAACACTTAGTGTATAGGGAAGACATTGTTTAACATTCAAAATAGGTGGCAACCCTATTAAACATATTTTTTGTTTAGGGATTTTTAAAAGACCTTCCATTTGATACCCATATTATGATGCTTTCATTAATTTGTGACTAATTTCGAATAGGTGGCAACCTTATACGAGTCCTCGCGGGATAATACCTATTTAGATAACCTTGAAATGCAAACCATTATCTGCAAACAAAATTTCATCAAAAAAGCCGTTTCCGAGAATCTTATAGATATATATATATTTATATAGTACATACAAGAATTGCTCGTTTAATGTAATAAGATAACTCATGTACAGATTTAAAAACAAAGTGAATGATGATATATTTCACGCTTGCTCTGATATCGAAGGGCTTTCAACTTTGAAGAATTGCAATTCTACTGGTAAGTTCATATGTAACCGGTTTTTTCTCACTCACATAACAAGAATTGCATTTATCCAGTTTGGCGTTCAATGCCTAGCAATGCAATAACTTAATCTCGTCATAAACACGTGCACGCATCAGGGATGTTACGAATGTCATATATTTCGAATGAGAATTGCGGATTGCGAATGTTTACGAATAACATTAAAAAAGCTATTACCAACTTAAGTCATTGTGTTTATTAAGTACTTAAAATTTGTATAAATAATAATTGGAATATAAAAAATTATTAGAACATTAACCCAGTGTTACACCTACGATATGTACACAGTGTTTTATAGCGTTTTCTTTTCTAAAACAAATTTTGCCTTTTCATTGCCTTCTTCTTTTTATTTGCGTGGAGAGGGCAATGAGGATGCAACATTTTTTGGTAGAAAAGAATACACCATAAAATACTACAAATTGAAAGAACTGGCTCGCAAATAATTGAGCGCTCCGTCCGCCAGTTCAGTGCAGCCGGCCTTACTTTGGAGCCTGTAAGGAATCGCCTCATATGCGAAAAGGCGGTAAAATTGCTTTTGAAATATAATATGCCTATTTTGAACTTTGACTATTAGATTTACCGCAGGTGTTGCCTCCTCATTGCCCTCTGCGCATAAATAAACGAAGAGTGCAATGAAAAGGCAAACTTTCTTTTTGTAGAAAAGAAAACGCCATTAGTTTAGTTTTAGGGGGTTTTCATCAAGAGAGGCTCGTTTTTTCTTTAAAATGCCCTTTAATTTCACATTTTTTAATGTTCTCAACTTCCACATCCGATCATTCGTTTACGCTCGAGGTATATACAATTCCATGCGAATGCGAATGAATATATTCGTAACATCCCTATCACGCATATTTACATAAATGTGTATATGAGCACACTCAAAGATACGTCATAATTAAATATTTGGCAGAAAATATTACAGCCAAAAGTAGAATAGTACATTCACACCACTTCCGAATAATAGGTAACATTAATTGAAGAACATATTCAAATATACATATTTAGGTACAGTATTGCTTCGATTTGTCAAACTGCTAAGTATTCGCTAAACATTTTAGGAACATTTTCGAAACAGATTATTTTATATTGTGACAAAATTTATGGGTTTGCCTGTGCGACACTTGAATATAGTTACTACCGCTCCGATATTTATTAGCTTTCCTTTGACCTCAATTCCTTTCACATTTCTACTTTACCTAATGTTAAATAAAAGGAGAAGTATAATAGGCTTGAGCCGACCGTACCCAGGATTTTTCTGTGTACGTGTTGACTCGCCTTTCGACTACACACAGTTGCGTGATTCAGAGCTTTGCTAGAGTCATATTTATTTTCACCACCAACAGATCCAAATCGCACGGTGTATGCCGCCCATAACAAAACTTTCAAAATAGTAATCAAAAAGGGTAGGCAGAAAGTATCAAACGATTAAAATAAAAAAGTAAGTGCGCCTGGACCACACTGGAGAAGTGAAACTTTCGTTACATACATATCTATTTTGTCTCATAAGCAATATACATACATACATATGTACAAACATACATACATCTGCTTTTGCTTAACTAAGGTTATGTTTTTGTCTTTTTTCTATCTAGATCCCTACCTCTACCCCTGTTCGTTCTAATTACATTTCGATGGCTGAGTGGAAGATCGACCTATCTCGGCAGCCAGTTCGAAAACGCTCTATCTCAAAAAACTTTTCAAGAACGCCCTATTTCAGAATTCGTTTCAAAAACGCCCTATCTCAGCTGCCGATTCAAAAACGCCCTATATCAGCATATTTTCAATACATTTTGAAGTGAGATAGGGCGTTTTTGAACCGAATTTTGAGATAGGGTGTTTTTCAATTAAATTCTGAAATAGGACGTTCTTGAAAAGTTTTTTGAGATAGAGCGTTTTCGAACTGGCTGCCGAGATA